TAATTTAATTGTACCAGACTAAAAAAATTTTTTTATTAAAAATATAATCAAATATAATTAAAATAAGCACTTATTTAGGGTAACATTTACTTGAACATGCGTTCAAGTACCCTGAGGTAAAAAAAGATCTATATAATATTTCAACATGTGATATACAAGTTTAACCATAAATTCTGTATATCTGTATATTATTCTATTTAATAATGTCACTAGTATTTAATTGTTCGTAGCACATCAAGTAAGCCCTTCCACAAATTACCTTCATACTTTCGTCTCCAGATAAATTCTAATAAATAATCATCAATAGATTCAATATCTCTATTTCGAGGATGAATTCGTATCTTTAATCCTTTCCAGGTTTCTTCTATTGTATTTGTATGCATTCCATTTGAATTAATAAATTCTCTTGAACGATTCACTCTTTCATGTCTTACATTAAAATCATCTAAATTCTGATAACCCTTCCAATAATTTGTAATCATAATTGAACCTGGTAGAACATGTTTTGAGATAATATCTCTAATTGTTTCTGCATCTCTTTGATTAACCATCTTAAAAAAACATTTTCGCTGATCAGTCCGTTCTACACCACCCACTACCCAAATTCCGGTATCTTTCTTTCCTTTACTAAACTTTGACTCGTCAATTTCTACTACAATCCCATTTCCTCCAATCATCGTATCATCATCCTCCAATGATTGAATTACTAATTCACGAAAATATTTCATATATCGTGATACTGACTTTGTTGAATAATCTGTGGCATTCAAAATCATTGTATAATTTAAGCCACATAACCAATAATAACCAATCAACATCACATCTGAACATCGAAGATGTTTCCATGCGAAAAATGTATTTCGATAAATTGATATTGACTTTCGACAATCACGATTTATACACACAAAAACCTTTTGATAACGATTCATCGAAGAATTACATATCATACATGCATTAGGATTTACTATAATTCCTTCTTTTATCAAAAATTTGATACATCGTTCCTCATTGTATAAAATCTTTCTCAAAGATTTTAAAGAAGAAATTGACATTTTTACAATAATTTCAATCATATTCATTTATTATATATAAAATTTATTAAAATATCTTATAATTACAATGGCATTTGAAACTCTCCTCTCTCAAGTTCGTGGAGCCTCGTTTCAAATCACCCCCTAGGGCCCCCTCAAGGGGGCAACCACATCGCTGATGTGGGACGTGCTGCATAGCTTCGCTAAGTGCGCTATCCTCTCAAGCTTTTAACAAAGATCAAGTATAATACGACACCTGACATAAACATGGTGAGAATTTTCAAAATTTTAATAGTTTTTATATAATTTAATATGAAATAAATTTATTGATAATAATGATAAGAATATAATATAAAATACATATTATTATTGAAATCTATAATCAAGATAACATTCATCACTAATCCTATAAATAAAATCCTTTACGTCAAACCATCTTTGACGTTCAATTTGCCACCTATTTAATCTCTCCTCATATTCATCGATTGCTTCATCATCTTCATGATCCCAACCTGTACGTTGGCGTTCTGGTCTCTCTGGAGGATTACCAGATTCAATCGTTACAATTCTAAAATCATCAAGACGTGTAGGTTTGATCCATAAACTTGTACGATAGTCTCGATCATTCTGAACAAAGAATGAAAAGACTGAAAGAACTGTTGGAGATGGTCCCAACCCTGCTGCAATTGGTTCATGAAATTCTTCTTTAAAAAGAAGAAAATATGAAAACCTGGGAGAAGATGGTGATGCGGTTGAACTTCTCATTTTTATACGATTTTTTTTATTAAATATGTCTTTGAATTTAAAAATATGTTGAATACTTGATTTAACGTTTGTGAATTTGAAAGGTGTGAACTTGGAAGGCATTTATACTTTTTAAAAATGAATGGTAAGAAGGAAGAGCATGCACATGCATGTATTTATATAATCAATATGAATAAAATTACTAATTAACAAATACCAATCAAATGCTCTATCTACGTAAAATCTGAGATAAATTCTAATATTCATAAATTCTATGTAAGGAACCAATAAAAAGATTGATAATATCAAGTATTTCATTCTAAATATAAAAATATTAATATTATACGTTAATTATAAGAATAACTTAAGTTTCTCAAAAATTACTTACAATGAATGAAATACTTGGGATTTGTTTCAAGATCATAACACCAATCTTGAAACCTTCTGTGCCATCTAATCACTATCAGATATATATAAGTCATTATTATGACAATTATATATATTTGTCTGATAGAAACTTTATATCTAAAGATTAAAAAGTTTGATAATTTATTTGATTCATAATATTTTATCATCTCGAAATTCAAGTATATCAAGATCGAGAATGTATATATCAAATAATTTAAGATATTCATTTTACTTACATTTTACCATCAATCGTCGTCTGTTGTTTATATATCTGTTAGTGCATGATATCAAAATAATGACTAATTATAATACACCTACTATATAAATGGTCATGATCTTCTCTACAAATCGTATGTAATCACACGAGATTACAAAAAAGAAAAAATACACCATTCCTTTTAAATCATGAAAAATATATATCAAAAAGAAAACAAGCAAAGTTAGAAAATATTTTGCTTCTTGTGTATAATCTTTCATTTTCGAAGATAAGTATTGTTTCAGAATAAGTATTGTTTTAGGAAAATATTGTATGTTAAGATAGTTCAAGTAATTTTTGGATAGCTTGGGAATTTTTTGAAATTTCGTGTATAATTCAAATTCTCCTTTTTATAACTATTCCTTATCTCACTTAATCATATCACATCACTCCCTTATCAAGGACAATATTAACAAATTTCATATTATTTAATTAATTCGCACATCATGTCATATTATGACTCTTCACATATCTCATATACATTGCATAATTATTAAACGCCCATCATACATCTCGTGTGTCCGAATAGTTATCATACATACATAGTCATGCATCTCGATGAAATCACAATGACCCATACTCATGCATCTCATTTATACAACATAATCATCAAACGCCAATTTCAAAATTGACATGCACCCGTAGCACCCATGATTATCAATGAGATGATGTGACTCACATGCATAATTACGCCTTACGATCATCAACGCCCGCATAATCGTACATCTCATTACGCCTGCTTGATTGTCGCATGCATGCCATGCATAATCATGCATCTCAATGAGATAACTATGACTCACATGCATCAATCGTGCATATCATTTTGGGATATATCCATCCGTCGTTTTTCGAAAAATCGTTTACCTCTCTCCGAATTTTTTCTCAATCGCGCCCTTGCGTAATTATTTCGCCTTCTCATCTCACATCTTTGTTTTCTTGCCAATTTCATTCGTGTGAGATGATTTTTATTAACCTTGCCCTCCAGGCAACTTAAATTTTTGAAAACATTCATTGGGAAGTATCATTTTCTATTTCTTTGAGATGCCGTAATTACGCGAATGTCTTAGTTGCGCTGGCCTACCTGGCTCCTTTGTAAGCCTCTGGCCTCTTCAACTTGGAGTGCGTAACATTCGTTCAGAAAGGGGGTATTCAGAGCTAACTGGTTCGCGTGATTATCAGTCTCAAATGATATACAAACGATGTATCCAAGATCATATTCACACCTCTCTTCTATATCATAGGAAACATCGACGACATCAAGAAAACCGCTCTACGTAAATATTTCAATTTGCTTTCATGTTTCTTTCCTAAAAACACTTATTCTCTTTGAAGATTTCAGCGTTGATTCTTTGGGTCACGAGTTGGAGTGACCTTCATCGATCTTCTTATGAACAGGTCAATGGACTTCGGTCCTAGTGGTATGAGGAAATGCTGAAATGAATGTGATGCCTCTACCACCCTGTTGTTACAGCCTCATGTAGAGCATTAATAAGCACCTGGTTCCATTTAACCCATGAATATGGGAGACGTAATATGGAAGTGAGTTCACACGATAATCGTCTGGTAATTCGGAAGTGAGATCGCGTGAAAATCGTCCTAAAGGTCTTTTGGCGGATGCCCAACGGCTCATTCATTGATAGCTGGGAATGATTCTACGTCGGTTAGATTTTATCTAAATTTTTATGTGGCACAACTCTCGTTCGCGAGATTGAATCTTCATTGGTTGTGGTTGTGAATCAGGGATTCGCAAAAGATTCATCAAAATCCTCGTTAATCATGCTTTAAGCTTCGAGGTACCTTGCTTTGCATGGGCCCATACATGAGTGAATACCCTCGTGGTGGTTAAAGTTTCACTTATGCATAATAGATCGGTACATTGAAGCTCTACAATTTCGATCGCAGATTTTGTGTTATCAGTTGAATTCATCCATCATCGTGAATTTATTAGCGCAATTTCTGATATTGAGCACACGTATGAGATTCTGCCTTGGTTTGAATTCTTGTGAATATTTCTCAGGCCATAAATATGATGAAAGCGTTTTGGAGGTGATCGTAAAACTTTCTCGTGTCTGTCTTTCTCACGACTCTCAGAATGAACTTTCTCGCGCGACTGGCAATCCACGGGATCGTATTTTTTTCTTATTCAATAAACCATTTCATCCAATGAGAGGTCCGGGAATTTTTACTCCCATTTTATTCGATCTGGAAATTTTTATATTTCCATTTTATTTACTATATCATTCCTTAATTACACGTGGGTACCTGGTCATTAACCTCCACGTGGTGTACCTGGATAATCAACTGATGAATGACCTTCTTCTTATTTTTCTTGTAATTATCAAAATAAATCAAGATTTTATCTTAATTATATTAATAAATCTTATAAATTTGTTATGTTATATTTATTATATATAAATATCTATTATTTAAAATTAATTAAAATAAGTAATTATAAATGTCGAAAATGCAAATATTGTAATGCTAAATGAAATAATGACATATGTTATATGAATTTTAAATATTTCTTTATGTGAAATGTATTCGACAAGATCAATACATATATTATCTTCATCGGTCAGCATAATATCATATATTGATGTATTCACTGATCGTATGGCACCTGACATAAACGATCTTGCGCATACAATTCCTATTGTACCCTTGGATAATTCAGAAAGAACACCTTTCATCTCTCGAATAACTGCTGGACCTATGAAATATTATTGATTAGTAATTATCACTTATTATCAAGAATGTGTGGAGAATGTTCACTTCTATTGTGGCCCGATGCGCTTTCAATCCACACTCTCCCCAAGAATTATGAGCAAAGATTTCCATCATTTAATAAGTTAATAAATACTAGTGAGAATACTCACCGACTGGATTTTCCCAGTTTTTTACTTGCACCACAAACTTTATGTTTAATATTTCACCTCGAATATCAATACCCTTGTCACCTCGCATTCCCATGCGTTGACACGTAATTCCAACTCGTTTTAATCTTTTTGCAACCTTTTTCTCAAGGTACAATCCTTTGGCATAAGATGAAGTAAACATTTAATTGATTTTTCTTTTTTATTTGAAACATTCTTTATTTTATTTGTAATTTATACCTTGCAGATACGAATAGAGATACATTTATATCATATAGACATGAATAAGATACATTTTTATAATATTCACATAATTGATTACTTATTTTGGCAATTAACCACATGATCAACATAACACATGAATGATAATCATCAATATAATCTGAATCATATGAATTTTAATATCGAATCTTCTTAAATTCTATTCCTAATAATAAAAAGCGTAAGTGTTAATACCTCGTCTGACGGGTGTATCTCATTAAAAAAGATGTCATCGATACACACTCACCTTATCAATTACATTATCATATTTCTGTCTCTTACTTGATTCGTTATCAGGATCATGTGTTCGTTTACCTGTCACATCTTGGATCTTTTGAATATCCTTATTTTTCAAATCCACAATATCAACATTATCTCGAAACCATTTTTCCTTATTATGATTTAGATTATTCAATGGATTTTGATCTCAATTACATAATATAATACAAGGTCGGGAACCATAGATTGTTTCCTTACGTTTATATTTATCAGTTGTCTCAAATTCATCCTGACACCCAATAAAAGACTTCCAGTACTTCACGTTTGATTTAGGTTTATCAAAGTTCCATCATTCCATGTGATATCATCAAGAACAATGTACTTTGCTTCAACATCCCATTTTTCCAAATTTTTTTCAGATCTCCAGAATATATGTTTTCCATGACATCTTGCCCATTTAGTCTTTCCAATTCGTGCTTCACCAATAACTAACAAACTTCGATATCGATCTTGCTTTTGATTCAAATTTTCATTTACCCACTTTTGCATAATCTCTGAAATCTCAAAATTTTCAGGTTTGAATGTAGACACATATTCAATCTTGGGTTGTAATTCAATTGCAATTTGTTTAAGAGAAAACCAATTTGAAGTCCATGTAGTTATACGATTATGATATTTTTTGAATATCTCAATTGGAGACATTCCATCTACCAAATCCTTACTGGCTTCAGTTAATGCATTAAATTCGTCTTTTTTCAATTCTGAGATTTCCTTGTCACCTTCACCATTGGCTGTTAAGAATCGATAATCTCCAAATTCCCACACACCAACCAACTTTTGTTTTTCATCTTCATTCAAATTTTCTATCCATGGTTCACTCCAACGTGATAGTGTACGAGATTGTTTACAAGTCTCATCACACAATTCACAAATCTGATCAAGATCTTGATAATCACATTTGCATGATGAATGTACTTTGCAACGATTATATTTTTTCATTACATAATTACGATTTTCATCAGAATTTCCATAAAGTTTTTCAGGAAATGTCATTGGGTGATCATCAAACATCTCTTTTACCTTTTTATATGTCATACGTTGCTTAAACTGAAAATATAATTGTACATGTAATCTTCCAGTACTTGTTGATTCATATCCTCCAACATAATGTGTTAATCCTAATTTTTTAAACTCATCAAACTCTGATTGATTAGTTGGAAATACGCGTCGACATTCAATATCTCTTTTTTCACAATGTAAGCATAATAGGGCATTACATTTATTTAACTGGCAGCACTGATCACAATTAATATCTTGACATTGCCAATGATTCTCTTGACATCTTGAACATTTAGGAATAGTTTTTGTTTTTCTATACTCAGTCTTACGTGCTTTAATCTCCTTTTTCGAACAATTTTTTTTACATCTGAATTGTTTTTTGCATGGTAAGCAATGAAATGAGGTTGCATAAATATGTTGAAATTTGTACGTTTGTGTCATCTCAAAATTTTGGTCTGTCTTTTTTTGGAATACCAGTTATATTTATATATTTTTTATTGCAGGGGGTAGGGGGTGTATGATAACGCAGATCGAATTTAATTAGTGAAAAAAAATTGGTCCACTAATTAAATGATTTTTTGACCCAAGTGATCGACACTAATTGTAATTAGTAAATAAAATTTGGTCAAAGTGATCGACATAAATTTTACAGGGTTCCAGCCAATCAGAATTCGCCAAATTTCAAATTTAATATGAAGGGGTGTAGAATAACACTTACAAAAATTGGTCATTAATTAAAGAAATTCTATTTTTTTTTTTACCTCTAGGGTAACATTTACTTGAACATGCGTTCAAGTACTCTGAGGTAAAAAAAGATCTATATAATATTTCAACATGTGATATACAAGTTTAACCCTTATTTAATTTAATTTAATTATATTTTTTTTAGGATAAAAGTGTAACAAATCTATAGATGTCCGGAAAAAATCTCGATTTTTTTCAAAAAGTCAAATGACAACCTCTCAAATGATATTAAGAGACTATAGGTATTTTGATAAGAGGAACGTCTTTTATTAATGGATGAAAAGATATTATTCACATCGATTTCTTAATAATTAAGGATTTAGACCTCCGGCCGAAGAATACTAATGATTAGACTAAAACACATATCTGAAGTCACATGACATTCGCTGA